TATTGTTAATTTTCCCATTTTAAATATATGAAGAAATCAAGGTACAGAATGATGCTAAGTTTAACTAATAGGAATGGACATGAAAGACACAAAAATGCATTTTCTAGAGGTTGATTTGTGAAAATTTTCTCTAAACTGTTTTTTGCTGTTAGCTTAAATTGCTTTCTGTTCTTTGGCCAAATGTGACTTCATATATAGCTCACTGCTCAGAATGTAAAGGAAATATAAAGCTTAGTATAAAGTATAGGAAGTATACTTTACAGGAAATATAAAGTATAACATTATTTTAAGATTAAAGGGTTTATAGATTTCCCTGACCACTACTACCCTATGTAATTATGGTAGCAAAGAATTTGTTGATTTATTAAAAGCTCTGTCCCTTTTTTGATTTGCTTTATTAATGGCACAAAACCACAGTGATGTTTTAATCTATATATACTGAGGAGGTATTTGCCCATATTTCTCTTTTGCAGGTAATTCTTTCTTGCTCAGTATTCTTAAAATCTTTTATTAAAAAATGAATATGACCTTGAAATGTGTCTCTACACAAGGCTTTATTTTTCAGCCACAGACAGGAAAAGGCTGCCCTCTCAAAAAAGGGCTCATCCTTACAGATGCAATAAATATGGACTAATGGAAGAAGCAAAGGACTGACAGTAAAACGCCTATGTTTGACTTTTAGTTCTGATACTATCTAATTATTTTGGATTTTAAAACTGAAACATGTTCCAAATAACAACCTCTCAATATTACTCCTAAGATTGTTTTGGTGATAGAGGGGAGTGGTATCATATCCTTTAGAAACTCTGAAGGCATAATTTTTCCCCAACAAAGAAACAAAAATCCAAAACATTTTCACAATTACAGACCTTAAGTATTGGCGCTCAGAAAACAATACCTCAAAGTATGATACTTTGGTATGCTGAGTACTTTGAAATTAAGGAGATTGGAAGGTCTCAAGCAGTCTGTTTCTGACATTTTCCAGCCCCCACCTCCCACTTTTCTTTCTCCCTCGAAGCAAGTCACAGAATCCAGTTCCTCTTCTCTAAAGTGGGTCATAGAAACTATAATTCCTTGATACCACAGCAAGTCATGAAACCTGGAATGGTCACTTTTTTCCTTCTCCCTTGCAGATCCTCATTCCAGGGAGGCCTTGCCCCATACTTGGGAGAAAAGAAAGCTACACAGAAAGGCCAAGAAGATTCTCAAGACAACCTTGCTGGGATTTCTTTTCTAAGTCTATTACTATTATAGAACACCCTTTTCCAATTATACTTCTATATAGCTACCCATTCCTCACTCAACCTAAGCTTGAAGAGTTCTCCCTCAACATCTTTGTAATATAAAGCTTTGATCAAATAAAAGCATTACACTCGTCTTTTTTTTTCTTTTTGAGACAGTCCTGCTGTACAGTTCAAGCTGGCCTTGAACTATGTAGCCCAGGCTGGCCTCGAACTCGCAGAGACCCTCCTGCCTCAGCACTGAGTGCTGGCATTACAGGCCTGTGCCACCGTGCCCAGATTGTTTCTTACTTACCTTTTAGGAGTGTGGACCATGACCCTTATGATGGGTGATAAAAGGTTTTATATTGAGTTCCCAAAGCCCTACACAAGTAGTCATGCAAATTCATGTATATTAATCCTCTAGACTACAGTATAACAATAGTTTCTGTTGATTTAGTATAAAATAGCCATTTACGTAGTCTCTCTCAGTAACATTACAGACTTGCTGTTCAATCTGTAAATGTACCAGTGCTAATAAATAGATTTATGCTTATAAAAGTGTAAAAAAAAATAAACTTTTATCTTCATTGTCAAAAAGAAGATATTTCCCTCTTTTCAGGCATGTAAAAACATATATACATATAGTTTTACATTTGTATCCTGACAAAGTAGATACTCAAATCAGTGGTTTTTCTCTATTGGATTACTATCCTCTAAAATCTTGAAGTTCAGTTATAATAAGTTAAACTTCTCAGAAAAACCTTAACAATCAAAATATTATTATTCTTACGGTTTACCAGACACTAACAAAAATATCTACAATGAAAATTAGGATCAGATAAGGATTTAATTGCCCACATATATTCACAGTCACACTCCTTAAAGACAGACCTTTCAGGAACAGCTATCATTGGTTTCAAAGGGCAGTAATTACAAATGCTTTGTATGAGGTAGTTATACATTCCAAGGATATAGAATTGCCTATATCCCCAGCCTTGGGGCTGGGGATTTAGCTCAGCAGCACAGCACCTGCCTGGCAAGTGCAAGGTCATGAGTTTGATTCCAGATACTGGGAAAAAAAAACAAAAACAAAAACAAAACTAGAACTGCCACCATAGAGACTATCTTTAATAGGCAATGTTGCTCATTAAAGGAATCATCAAATTTCCTCAGATGTGTTCACAGTTTTGTGAACTCTGCTTATTATGCAACTTTACCTTATCTTGAAAAAGTCATTTCTGAAAAGTTAATTTCTGACAGTCTAATTCTACTACTGAAATAATTTTATAAAACTGGAAGCATTTTAAAGGAAAACCAAATTACCCTAAAACAGTGGTGGTGAACCTAATGCATGTGTGCCACAGCCGGCTACTATCACTGAAAGCTCTAAAAGGTTTGCACCACTGTCTTACATCAACCACCAGCCCCATCCTCAGCACTGGGGGTTGAACCAGGGCGTTTGCACTGAGCTACAGTCACAGTGCTCTTTTTATTTTGATAGATAGTCTTGCTGAGCTTAATTTTGCTATCCTCCTGCCTCAGTCTACCTACCAAACTGCTGAGATGACAGGCTTGCACCACCAGGCTGGGTAGACAGCACTTTCAAACAAATCAAATCATTGAATAAAACAATAGTGTTCTGGAAATATTTGCTGAACAACAAAAAACTCCTTATTAATAAAGATGAGTAACAAAATATGAATGAGGCTATTTTTCACCTTTGACACAATACAGATTTAGGGGAAAACTAATTTCAACTGCACAATACATTCAAGAACTGGAGAATTAATCAATTTCATCACACCGAATAGGATATGTAGGCACTTCAAATGTCCTAAGTCATCTTTCAAGAAGCAAGAACATTTTGAAATGACAAGGGAAATAGGAACACAGAAAAACAGACAAAGTTTACCAAAAATTGCAACTGCCAATTTTATAAAAGTAATCTCTGGGGATTGTGAAAAAGGTATTTTGCCTAATCTAAATACTTTGCAATCCAGATAGTTTGTCGTCCTTTAGTACCATAAGACCACTTTATAGTTTTGAAGTGCTCTAGTAAACTAGCTGGTATACTGAGAGAAAAAACTGAGCATAGAGTGGTGGTGCAATGCCTGTAATACTAGCCAGAGGAACTTGAGGCAGCAAATTACAGGAGCCACTCTTCTAACTTTCCAAAATCCTGTCTCAAAAAGGCCAAGAATGTAGCTTAGTGGTAGAGGGGATCTAAGTTTGATCGCCAGAACCACAAAAAGCATAAAAACTGGTTCTCAACTGTTTTTCTTTTTATCAGTGCTGGTGATCAAACCCATGGACCTTTCCCATGCCAGGCAAGTGATCTAACGTTGAGCAACTTTCCGAGCCCCAAGGTCTTTTGAAATTGAGTAAAAGTAATAACGTTTTACTGGTTGTACAAAGCACTTCAACGCATTAAGTTACAGAAATAAAATGTGGTGGGATATATACTAATATTGAAATTATCACTGACGACTAGACGGAAAATTTCAAAAAGTGTAAGAACTGGGAATGATGACACATATTTGCAACCCCAGTATTCAGGGAGGATGAGGCAAGGAAGAGCTCAAGGCTGAGGCCAGCCCGGGCAACTTAGCGACTTAGACCTTGTTTCAAAAGCAAGCAGGGATAGGGATGCAGCTCAGTGCGAAGGTCTTGAGTTCAGTACCGGTACCACAATATAGAAATTCAAGAAGTTTAAGTTTAAGTCATCAAGCTCACCTTCCTATTGGTTAATACTTCTAAAGTGAAGTCCTTATTTTTTGATAGTTCTACTATTTAATATACTTTCAACAATGAAAATATGTATGGCTATTCAGATTTTTAAGACACTTGACATCTTTATGACCAGGTCAGGTTCAAATTTTTAGAATATCTGGGCAACAAGGTAAAAATGGATTTTGATTTTTTTAACCAAAGGCTTTTAAGAAAGTGAACAATAACAAAGCACTGAACATACTAGTAAGTATCGACTGCTCTCAACTTCCCTTCAACAACTGTTACAAATGTGCCCGTATCCAAGCAGCAGTTATGTTTTGAATGAAGCCTAAAACCTTTAAAAAGAACCAATTAATAAAAGTAACTTTTCTAAATGTGAATTAAACATTTCCTTTAACGTTTTTACCACTTGTGCGCCTCTACACACCACACAGTTGTCAAAAAGACATCTAAAAATTCAAAAAAGCAAGTGATAATTTTGTGGCTCTACAACTATACTTCGAAGCAGCCTACTAGGTCACCCCAAAAGCAAACAATACACTGCGGCGTTGAGATAGTTCACAACGCACTTAGAGCCCACATTATTGCAACTTGAGTTGAACTGTGATTCTTTCAAAGCCTAGGAGTTAGCAGTAATCTCAACCTTTCCACTTCCCAAAACACCATTAAACTCTTGCCCTCATACAGCCACTACAGAGGCCACGTGCCTAAAAATCGAACGTTTCAAAAAAAAAAAAAAAAAAAAAAATTCAACTACACCATGGAAAGGAAGGAAACTGCCTTAAAGATCCAGGTTGAGATGGGCTTAGGAAATTGCTTATACTAAAGTACCTGCGGTCACCGGACTTGCTCTGCACCCACACCACTCCAGAATCACAAGTTTCCGTACACTGCTCGAAGCGTTGAAACCAGATCACGGAGAAGCCCACTCCGCACAGCACCACTCAGCCCTTACAACGGCCAAAGCGGCCGCACACGCGGCCGTCCCATCCCCTCGCCCCGGCACCCGGCTCGGAGCCCGCTGGCAGCCCACGCGCCCTCACCTACCCGGACTCCGCGGCGCCCGCCGTCGTGGGCAGCGAGGCAGCGGGCAGCCGGCGCCGGAGGGCATCGTCCAAGTGAGCGCAACCTGAGCGGCTTCCCGACTCGCCCCAGCTGCTAGTGCCGACTCTTCGGCTAGGCAGCAGCCCCGCCCCGCGGAGCCACGCCCACTCCCCGCCACGCCCCCTGAACGCGGGGCGAGGTCGGGGGCGGCGCGGGGGCGGCACGGGGGCGGCACGGGGGGAGTGGAGGGAGGTCGCAGCACGTGCTCCGCTGCCTTGGGCAACGGCGAAGGAGCGCGCTCCACGGGCACCAAGCCTGTAACCCCCGCACTCTGGGAGGCTGAGGCAGAAGGATCGCAAGTTCGAGCTCAACCTGGGCAATTTAGTGAGAGCCTGTCTCAAAAAATTAAATAGGGCTGAGGAAGTAGCTCAGTATGAAAGCCTTGCGTTTAATCCCCAGTAGCGAAGAGAACAAATACAAAAACAAAGACCTCCTCAACAAAAACCCCCAACAACTCGCCTAACAAGTGGAGAGGCTGGTGAGGCCTGGTCCGGGCAAGGCTTCGTTCTGGAGTCGGGGCTGCCTCGGTGGCTCCGCGCACGGGTAGGCAGGGGCTACGACCCAGAGCCGGGAGTTCGAGGCCAGAACCCGCCCCCTTCCCCCAAACCAACCTTAATGGTCATGCTTCTCCTGTAACTTACCAGAAGCTTGCTAGTTTCTAACCGACCCCAGCACACTCCTCACAAACCTTGAGTGGCCTTTTTCCAGTCAGTCCTTCAGAACCTCATCCTTAGCGCAGAATTGAGCTTCCACCTCCGGAGTTCACGAAGGTTCAGGAACAAAGTGGAACGCATGTGCAGCAGGCGGGGTGGGCAGCTCGGACTGCGCCTGCGCGGTGGGCGGGGCAAACGACCGCGAGGGCTCATAGGATCTGGCAGCGAGGGGGGCGTGGATCGCCACGCAGGTGCTTGCGGCTGGGTCCCAGTGCCTGTGTCATTCACTCCAGTTCCTCTGGTCACGTGGGCGCTGTATCCTCTCACAGCACAAAGAGGGGGAATACAGTATTTTGAGAGCCCACATTCACATAATTTGTATTGCAGTATATTGTTCTAATTGTCCAATTTTATTATTATTGGATGTTACTCTTACTGATTTATAAATTAAACTTTATCGTAGATATGTACATACACGTAGGAAAAACCCTATGTCTAGGCCTCAGAACTATCTGTGGTTTCAGGCATCCACTAGGGCGTCTGGGAATGCATTGCTTGTGAAAACCACAAACTACTGTAAATAAAAGGCACCAACGTTGAGTACCACAAGGAAGCTGGAAAAAATTGTTTTGTGAACACTATAAACTAAACTAAACCCATAACTTCAGTTTGCTCCTATTTTTTTAGCCTCATTTTTGTCTTGAAATTCTGAAACAGTCTGCCAGTTATGTTCTAAAATATTAATTCTCTATCCCTTATTGTTTTCTTAGATTTTTTTATTTTAAAGAGAGAAAGATAAAAAGAAATAAAAATGGTACAGAGTTTCAAAACAGAATAAGAAATTAACAATGGTTAATGTATTGCATACTGTCGTCTTCAAAGTAGTTGCTCAGGTTACAAGATGTAGGCATGCAAAATTAATCAACCAGTGTAAGCACAAACCAATCTTTTCAATGGACTGAAAAAAATGAGAAGTATAATTTTGCTATCTTCATTGATTGGTTAGTTTATTTTTATTTTAAAGAGAATAATAAAGAACAATAGCAAAATACCAATAACAGACAAAAACAAAACAAAGCAAAAACAATAAAAATGATACAGAGTTTCAGAACAAAATGACAGGATTTAACAGTGGTTGTTATATTACATATTGTTATCTTCAATGAAGTTGCTCAGATTCCTAGATGTGAGAGGGCAAGACTGATCAAACCATTAAAGAGAATAAAAAAATAAAAGCAAAAAACCCATTAGAAATGATACAGAGTTTCACTAGACAGGATGGTAGGAATTCACCAGCGGTTGTTATATTGCATATTGTTGTCTTCAAATTAGTTATTTAGATTACAAGATATAAGCATGCAAAATTGGTCAAAAAGAAAAAATATTAGGCATATTTATTATTTCAATAAACCATAAGACATCAGCAGTACAGTTATCCCGGCTACCTTTCTATATATGTATATATATATTTTTTCCCTTCCTTCTTTCTTTTTCTCCTTTCCCTCATCCCAGTTTGATTGGTTAGTTTATATTCATCTTTTTTCTTTTCATCGATATATCGGTTAGTTAGTATGCATCTTACTTCACTTAAGATTTTGAAGACACGAGTGTGACTCTGAGGTCATACATCCCATAAGTTTATATAAATCATATTTTCATTACTTTTATTTCAAAAATAATTAATATTTGCATTTTTCTTCTTCACATCGTTATTTTGGAAAAGCGTTTTTAATTTTGAAGTGATTTGGAAGGATGTTTTTGTCTTGTTTTCAACTCCAGACTAACTGTAACGTGGTCAGAAAGTATGACCTACGCAATTTTGGTTTGGGGAACTTATTGGGATTAATTTAATTGTGTTAATATTCATAAAATTCTCATAGCATATAAAGTTTAGCATACACAATTCTGTCTTTTTGGTTAAATTATTTAGACCCTTTTTCAGAGGTGCCAGGAATTGAACTCAGGATCCTCAGGCTTGCTAGGGAGGCACTGCACCACTGAGCTAAATACCTGGCCCTTTATTTAGACTATTGAAATCTTCATTTTGTTTAATACTTTTGTGTGTTGATCTTTCCAAGAAATATGTTTCCAGAGAAATATGTTTCTATCCATTTCTTCTTGGATTTGTAGCCATTTAAAAATATATATGTAGGCCTGTAGTATTTAGTACACAAAATTTCACGAATATTACATTTTGTGCATCTTTATTAAAATGAAATATTTTTATCACATTTTGAATATTTTTCTCTGTTGAATTCCACTTTAACTCACATTAATACCACCCCCTTCTTTCTGTTTGTATTTGCATATTGTTCAGCCAAGCTTTTGTTTTAAACTTTTCTGTGTAATTTAGTTTACATGTATTTCTAATAAATAATGTATAATTAGATATTGTTGTTTCTTTTTTAAAGGGATTTTAGCTTGGTATGTGGTATGTGGTGTGTGGTACACACTTGTAATCCAGCACTTGGGAGGCTGAGGCTGGAGGATTGACATGACTTTGAGGCCAGCCTGTCTGGTCAGTCATAGCAAGACCGTCTCAATTTACAGTACTGGGGAATGAATTAGGGGTTTCACCCTGAGCTACATCCCAGATTTTTTTTTTTTTAAATTTTGATTCAGGGTCTCACTAAATTGCTAAGTTGCTCAGGCTAGTCTAGAATTTATGGTTCTTTTGCCTCTGTCTCCCAGAATTCTGGGATTATAGGCATTTGCCACCGTGGGTACCTGAAATATTTTTGTTAAGTGATACTAAAGCATACTGTCTAATTTCCACCACAGATGAAAATAGTATCTATTGATTTCCCGTTTTTTTTTTTATAACAGAAATTAACATAATTTACATCCCAATTATTGATACCATCTGGAATTTTAGCTCAACTTTATATTAAATTATTTCTCTTTTTTCAATAATTATTGCTGTTTTTAATTTTAGTTAAAAGTATTACTCAGAATTAAGTCAATGTTTTTACATGTTTTACAGTGTTCAAATACAATATTGATCTCTCTCTCTTTCTCTTTCTCTGTCTCATTCTCTCTCTGGCTTGGTAATTGATGGATCCTTGAGCCTGCAGACTAAGTACTTTCCTGCAATCAAAGTTTTATTCTGTTACCATGTCCATTATAGAATATGTGCTATTTGTTTTGCTTGCTTCTTCAGTAAAGCAATTTCTGAAAATGTTTTTATGTCCTTTATCTTTCATTTTTATATTTCCTGTTTAGCATTTTCCTCTTTGTTTTTCTCTACAATCTGTGAGATCTTTTTTTGTTCTGCATACCCGCAGTTCAGTTTTTACTTTATTTTGAACTTTTCAAAAGCTCAGCTACTCTCAAACTTGGTAAGTTCTATGAAGTTTTATCTGGACTCACCCATTGTTAACATTTTGACATATGTGGTTTACTAGAATACATAGGTACACCTTATCCTTTCTTGCTTGGCATACATAATGTGTCATTACAATTGTGGAAACATGAGAGTAAGATACAGTACATACATCATGATTCCATCCTTTCAGTTTCTGTCTCCTGAAAGCAAGGACTTTTTTCTTACCTAACCACATGACAATACTATAATTGTATAATACAGTTCATACAGTTCACCAGTTGTTCCAATAATTGGTAAATATATTCTAATACAAGAGCCAATCAGCAACCACACATCACATTTTGTTGTCATGTTTCTTGACTTGCCTTACGCCTAGACTTTTCTCAGCTTTGGTTTGTCATGACTTCAAATCCCTCCCCCTGCCTTCTGGATATTTTCCCAGAAGATCTGAAAACATCATATCACAGCAATATATGTGCACCCATGTTTATAGCAGCACAATTTGTAATTGCTAAAATGTGGAAACAACCCAAATATCCACCCACTGAGGAATGGATAAAAAAATTGTGGTACTTTTATATAATGGAATATTACTTAGCTATAAAGAAAGATCAACTTGAGGCTTTTACAGGTAGATGGTCAAAACTAGAGACCATACTCA